CTTGTGCTTATAATATCTTGTATAACTAAAGATGTGTGTCAAAAATTAAATGTTACTGATTGCTTGTGCTTATAATATCTTGTATAACTAAAGATGTGTGTTAAAAATTAAATGTTACTGATTGCTTGTGCTTATAATATCTTGTATAACTAAAGATGTGTGTTAAAAATTAAATGTTACTGTTTGCTTGTGCTTATAATATCTTGTATAACTAAAGATGTGTGTTAAAAAGTAATGTTACTGATTGCTCGTGGTTGTAGATCTATTGAATACAAGTAAGATGTAATTAATATTACATGATAATTTAAGTCATCAGACTAGTTTCTATTTCAACCATTTACAGTTTTACGAATATTTATTTTTTTCACTTAGCCCCCAGGTGGCATGAACCGAAGAATTAGCCAACCTAGTAGGGAAAAACACAAAAAAGTTATAAACATTTCATCGTCTCTCAACAAGGATGTTAAACTTCATGAAGCTCAGAATGCTTGGAAGCCGTTAACCAAAGTTTCTAAAGAAAGTGGTGACGATGAAGCCAAGACAGAGGTAAATAGAACTTTTTTTCTCACATTAGCATGTGTTTGTATTACTCCTCCATGTTTAAAAACAATTTTTAGTAATATTTTTAATTTGTGTAAATACATACTGTTATATTTTTTGGATACTTACTTTCTTAGTTTTGGAATGTTTTTCTCCTTACTAGAAGTTACTACATTTTTGAACCCTTGTTATTACACCACATGTAATGTGAGTGTTTTAGAATAAATTTGATTTAGTGATTTCACAATTTAGTGTACTGATATAAAATTTTTCTATCTAAGCACTTTCGTATTTTGAATAATGTTATACAAGTTCTTGGTTGTGTGGTAGTAACTGTTGTGTTTATATTTGTATTTACTGTTAGGTTTGGGTTTAAGTTTATTGGAGCTGAAAGTCCGCAGTTAACATAAGTTTCTATATGATACAAGGATGAATTCCCTGATTTTATAATTGTTTAACCAAAACTCTGTAAGCTTAAAATGGCTCTGTATTTATAATGTGCATTGTGAATTTATACTCCCCTAAAAGGAATACTAGTTTACATTGCCACTAGCATAATACAATTAAGGAGTGTGTATCTTTTAACAACATGAAATGAATTATTACCTTAAATGATTGTTAGCATTTCGTCCACCTTGTTGTCACTTTTACACGCATTGTTGAACTTTATATTCATATATACATGAATCTGTGGTGGGCACAGCACAGATAACCCATTGTATAGCTTTTGACCTTAACAAAAATACAAACAAACATACACGAATATTACTTCATACCATCAGTATCTAATGCAAGTCTGTCTCTCTACTCCTGTGGAAAGGCTAATATTTTCTTGGTAAAGTCAAAGTTTTGTTATTTTAATACATTTTCCTGATTTTTTTCATTTAGCATAGTACTGAAATAGTTTACAAAGTCTAGTACTTCCGTGAGATACTATATATATTAAAAAAAACACACAAAAAGCGTTTTACTGATGTTATGGATGATTATTGTGTGTATCAATTATATTCACAACAAACAGACTGTACAGGAAGGTCAAAATTCTTCGTAGATTAAATTGTTTTTTTCGTTGGTTTCCAAGTCTGAGTGAAACCCAGATGTCAGGTCAATTGTAGCAAGCACGTTGCATAACGGCATAGTATACAGGTACATCACACAGTGATGTTTATTTCCTTAAAAGTTGAAAATTTATCAAACTGTATTTCACATATTAAAATGTTCAAGTAGTCATCGTGTTTTTTGTAGGAAGTGTAAGTATTTGAATAGCATGTTTGACTTGAGATGCAAATTGTTTTTTTTACAGAAATATGGCATGGACAGTACCATTTCATTGATTTTTAACTCGGTACTTCTTTATTTTTACAGGAGTTGTACAAGCGGGTCAAGGGCATACTGAATAAGTTGACACCACAGAAGTTTCAGACGTTGGTTAGCCAAGTCCTTGAACTAGATATTGACACTGAAGAGAGGTTGAAGGGAGTGATTGATCTAGTCTTTCAAAAGGCAATTCAAGAGCCTGCATTTAGCGTCACTTATGCCAACCTGTGCAAAACTCTGGCTGTGGTAAGTAACTCGTAATTAAGAGAATTTCTCATTTCATATTCAGTGACTTTTACTACGCATTGTAAAACCCTAAAGTGTACAATACTTGTTTGTATTTGATGCCAGATTTTCTGCTGGTATTTTTTTGCATTTATTTATTTAACTTCCCTGTTATTGCTTTTATTTTTTTCTTATTATATCCATATTTTCCTCAAATTGTAAATTTGTAACATACTGAATTGTTATTTTGTTTTCATTATTTCTTTTGTTGCCAGAAAATCATTTGCAGAGTGACTGTTCTAATAATGTATCAAAACATTTCCAGTGTCATGTAACCTCTTCTGATGGTCAGCAGGTGAAGTTTAAGAAACTTTTGTTAGTCAAATGTCAGCAAGAGTTTGAAAAAGACATTGATGCTGATATCAACAAGTCTGAATACCTGAAGAAGATAGAAGAGGCAGAGACAGTAAGTTATTTTAATTCAAATATTTTTTTAATGTTTAGTGTGTATTACAAATGACAGTCACCCTGTTTGGTGATAGTATGCTGGCATTTGTATTCAACTTAGGACCGTGTATAAAATCTTATTTCATTTTATTTAATTATAGGGCAATAAGATAGAAAATCATACCCTTCTGCCATGCCCACTTTTTTTTTCTGACATTCAGTACTAGATTATTTATAACCAGTAGAAAGCCAAGGTTTTCATCTATCAAATGATATTATATTACTTTGTGTTCTGTAGTTCAAGCTTGATTCCCATGGGAAATGCATCGACAAGCTTAGATGAAAAAATATTGATAGTTATGGGACATTCTGCCTTCTACACATTATTATAATTCTGTGTTCTTTGGTGTATTATTTAATTAAATACATTATTTAGTACAGTAGTACCATTAGTATAAAAAAAGTAGGGTTAAGTGTCATCAACAGCAAGAAAAAAAAATCCAGGTAAGTACTTTATTTCTTGTTTTTCATATGTATTCTTTATTTATTATTATATGAGTAGCTAAAATGTAAAAATAGGAAACTTTTCATGTTAGTAAAGTTTAGATCAGGTGGAATAAATAATAATAATATAGAACTTTTCATGAGGTACACTCATGAGCTGCACATTTGCCAAGTGATTTACAACCAATAGTGGTGCAAATAGTAGTTATACAGGGTTCAAAGGGCAGTAAAATAAAACTTAATATTTGTATACTGTTATGAGTTTGAAGCTATTTAGAATAAATGAATGTAGCTTCATATTAAAATTTAAGGCCATTCTAGAAAGAAAAAAGGTAAATTTAGATTTATTTCTTTTTGCGTGTGTGTGTGTGTGTGGTTACGAGGTCAGTCAAATTGACCAACCTTGTATAAAGTTAGAGTAGATAAAAAACATTTGAAATTTATTTAGAAAGTTTTAGTGATTACATAAATTTGAGATTTTTGAGACAAAGAAAGGTATTTTTAATCTTAACGTGAAAATCACTCTGCATTTGGACTGGTATATAGAAATACTATATATATTCACAGGCAAACCTTTAGGAAAAATACTTCATTAAAAAATTGATTTTTTATGTAAAAAAGACTAGTAACATTTTACCAAGAGTTGCAAAATTTCATGAAGATACACAAAGTGTATTAAAAGTTAGTATAAAAACTATAACTAGTACAAAATGGTTAAGAGGTCAGTTGATTTGACCGACCTTGTTGCAAGAAAGTTAAGTTTGTCGATATGACCACTGGGAGAGAGACTTTCAAACTGAAGACAAAATAGACAACACTGTATACTGAAAAAAATGTAATATAATACATCATTTGATAGATTAAAACTTTAGCTTTATATTGGTTATAAATAATATAGTATAAAATGTCAGAGAATTATTGGCTTTTTGTAAAAGAAGGGATGTTATAGGTGATGGTAAGTAGGTCTGATTTTCTAATTTATGACTATTTAGACAATGTCAGATTTTAAAAAATATGAATATATATATATATATATATATATATATA